AGTGAGAGTGGAAGTTCCTAGCATGAGTTGTAGTATGTGAGTTTGAATGTTCTTTGGTTATTCTATGGATCGGAATGCTACTGCACGATTATTGCTTGCTTTGTGCTTTGTGGGACTCTTAAGTTATGCGATTTAGCTATTAAGTGAATATGTTAAGTCACATGTAATAAAGGTTGAATAATCTCACAGTAATAGATTTGACCCTATTGTGTAGCTCTCGTTTGAGTCTAACCGTTGTAGGGATGAGTCTTTTACTCGAAGGATTATCTAAGCTGTGTTGCATGTCATTGTATTCATGAGGTAGCTAACTGACATTATGGGGAGTTCTTCAGCAGCTGATGGCAGGGTGAGGTCGGAAACCTAGGAAGGCCTAGGAAATGCTTCAGTGAATTCAAGAAAACGCCAACGTGATGATGACGTGGAAGGTGATGTGGAATGGGAAGAGACTCCAACTGCAGGTATAAGTTATAAAATCATATTACATTTGTAACTCTAATTTATCTACTGAAGTCTTAACAACATTAGATCAAATTGAGTTTCCCCTAAGAAACAATTATTGTTTGACTTTTTTTGCAGATGAGACTTTCAAGGTTGACTTGAATGTGGAAGCAACAGAGCCTTCAGGGGATGATGATGATGATGATGGAATTGATTGGGAAGAGGGTTAATTACTTACTAGAAAAAGAAAAGGAAAAAAAATAACCTTGAAAACCTTCTACTTATGCAAAAAAAGACGATGATATGACTCGTGGCATAATGGCAAGACTATAACTGGCACATAGCATTCTCTATTGTATGTATGGTATGCGGTATTTTGGGAAACTCACTAAGCTTTGTTCTTACGGTTTCTTGCTTATGGTTTCAAGTACTTCAGGTTCAAAAGGGAAGGGTCTGACTTTATCGTAGCGCATACACCCATGTTTTTCTACAACCTTGTGATTTTGGGATTGTACTCTGATAACTGTTTTTATTATGAAATACTTCTAAATGTTTGAGTGAAAGAGAAATGAGTGTTTGAGTTGTATTAAAAATTAAATTTTTACCTTGAAATTTTGGGATGTTACAAGTTGGTATCAGAGCCTTGGTTTGAGGGATTCGGACACACTCTCGAGTGTGACTGAACTCAGACTGAGGAATTGGTATTTTTTCTTAAATAGAAAATGAGTTTTCTTTTTTAAAAAAAAGATTTTTGTAAATGGAAATAAAATTTTAAAAGGATTTTTGTAAAGACAAAGGGGGTGTGATGTGTGCAATCGGCCGAGCTCAAGTAAGTGATTCCGAGAATACCCATACATGTTTGTTATGATTATATGTTATGGGAATTGCATGATAGGATGAGGCTAGGGATACTTTCAGGAACCACATGATAGATTGGCCTGATATGTGATGGCTTGTAGCCTA